AGAGAGGCAGAGAGAGAGCAGAGAAGATTGGTTCCTGAAACTGTTGTTCTGCCCTCTGATTGGTGGAAGCCTGTTGCTAGGCTTATGTCAGCGTGCGAGACTTTTCTGCTTCCTCTCTTCTGTGCACTGATAGGTCAGGTTGGAACTGGTCTGGTGGACTTCTGCCACTTGTTGAACATCCCCACAGTTTCTGCGGTTCCCTCGCGTCTCGCTGCATGAGAAAACACAGCCGCCGCCGCAGCGCTGAGACACACACATGTGCAGAGTTTACGCCTGGCACGGCTTCCTCTCTGTTTTTTAATCTTATTAACTTTTATCATCCTCTTTATTGGTTCAAGGCTGTCGTTAATTCCTCTGCGCTCTCATAAAGGAAAAACAACTGCTTTTCTTAGCATTTGAGAAAGTAGCTGGAATACTTTCTGACTTATAAAAACACGTAGTGAACTAATTCCTAATAGCTGACAGTTAGATCTTAATGAAACTTCACTTTAAAACTACCGATTGCTCAGATTCTGTGTCCAGTTTATCCCTGATCATTTCTATCCTGATAAGTTTGTAAAAAACAAGTCCGACTGCAGGCACATGGTTGCAGGATCAGTGTCTGTTTACTGGTCTACGTCTCCAAACCTTTAATTCTGCTGAAACAGTCTCACTTATTCAACCTAACACTGAATAAAGCTCCACTTTTTCCTGCTGTTTGACTCTGAATGCTTGAACGAAGCCTCTGAAGAGTTTGGATTTGACAACAGAGCTGGTGGTCGCCTTCAATTTACAGTGAGCACAATGGATTCTGAAAATGAGAAGATTTCAGCAAGAAAACACGTCAAAAAAACATCCAAATAAACTGGTTCCGGCAGCGCTGCTCACTTCTTCACCCGTCTATACGCTCAGTGGGCTCCACCAAGTTATGGCCAAATACGCTGCTCCTGCTTCCTTCTGTGTAGAACGTGCACAAGCTGATGTTCCCGTGAATATAGTAGACATGAAGCCCTCGGTTCACGCATTAAAGCAAGATCATGCAACTTTCTCTGAACAACAGTCTTTGTGGCCACAAGAAGCAATTATGGGATAATTGGAAAAGCTCAGATTGAGTGTGCAAGCAAAGTCAGTGGAGTGACTAAAAGCCTGAAGTTCGTTCAGAGCGGTCATCGTAAGCTGCTGCTCGTGCAGGGCTCAGTGATAAACCTGTACAGCTCTGTGGTGGTTTGATATTATGATATTTTTTTTATTTCAAGGGTTATTTTAAGACCTTTTCAGACCTGGAACACACGGGAACATGAATTAATAACCTGTTAAAGCTTCAGACATGAGGTCCCTGTAACGTCCTCACACAGTTTTTCAGACAAACACACAAGAGTGACGAAGAAACTGATGGTATGAGATCCGGGATAGAACAAAGACACTGAGTGACGCAGGATGTGTGACATTACACTAACGAACAAAAGGCTGAATCCACCATGTAACGAGGATTTAGCTGCCGTTCCTGAACCTCTGTGTGTGGGATCCATCCTGTCTCCATGTCGGGTTTCATTCACAATTCAGTAAATAATGAACTCCAAACTGTTTCATGTGTGTTTAGTGAACTCAGGAAAGACTCCAAGCAAGCAGCAAACCAAAGTTCAGCTCCTGGTTCAGCAGAATCCAGATTACATTCATGGGTCTCGTTAATCTGATCGTCAGACTCCATTTGTTAGATTATTTATTTATTGTTCTGATATTTCAGGTTGTCAGAGGAATGACATCATAGAACAAAGTAAATGTGTTTTGTGTGATTCTGGCTCATAAACAGTGTCTTTTGCTCTCTGTGATGTTTTTGGAGCGACGTTAGTGCTAAAACACTTCAAAATGCCCTGGCTTCATTCTGAGCCGTGTTTAAAGTGATGCACAAGTCTAACTAGGTCCGACCTAGTGAGGCCGCCACGGTGACCACGGGGCTCGTTCAGACATGTGCCGACATGTTCAGGTGCCGTCACATTAATGGGAAGGAGTGCCCGTCTGAAAGGGCCTGTAAAGCTCAAACATGTGAGTTTTTGACTAAAAGAAGAAGCCAAGTAGCTGACTGCCCTGCTGCTGTTCTTACGGTTTGGTCTAAACTGGCTCAATACCCAGTAGGTTCCTGTTTAGAAACACATTAAAAGTTTAGTTTAGGTGAAAACAGTGTTCAAGGCCTGACGAACAGAAAACTGCTTCTTAGAACAGTCGTGACAAATGACATTCAATCTGAACCATTTTCCTGCCTGTTGCAGTTCATGGGAGTATTTTTATTAGCATCAGTGTGAAGCTCGTGGAAGTGTGTCCATTGTTCAGGCCCTTCCTCCAGCAGATAAGTGTCTGAAACAAATCTGAGAAGATTCCTGTTGTTTCAAGAAGTCTTCCCCTTTAGTTCATCTTTACAGAGCTGTCCGATCCAGACGTCCACACGTTGTACAGCCACCTCTCCGGGGTGATCTGGTGGTTTCATGGACCCTGGTTTATCCCCGGCAGCAGTGAATGCATCTTTCCTCTCAGCGTGTCGGAGAGGCTGATTTCTCGTTTCCCTCATTTGGTTTGCAACAATTAGCCACTTAAGAACGACACATTCAGTTCGAGTTCGCTGTCAGTGACATCAAACTACTGAGAAAGCCACAGATGCAGATCTTCAGACACCTGCAGTGTGGTTTTCACTTGTCACACTGTGTTCTGGAGCAGCCTCACAAGACACACCAGAACACGCAAAGTCTCACATGTTGTCAAACCAACCAGGCAAAACATACGAAGGTCTGGAGTGAACACTTTAGTCAAGTTTTCTTCAGTTGTGTCAACAGCAGAAATAAATGTGCAGACGAGTTCAGCACAGTGACCTAAAGACACAAGGGCGGGACTGGATGTTCAGTGGGACAAAAACACCTCAAAGGTCAGTCCTGAAGACCTCTGAATCACTCCACACCATGTTTATGACATGCTGCTTTATGGCTCTCTCATTATGTAAGGGTTTTATGAATATATTGTCTTGTTTACAAGCCGGTTTGTGTAATTCGGCTCTGGTTACCAACAACAAACATGCAGCTACTTGTCATCTGGACCATCAGCTGGAGGTGTAATCACAGCTCTCCTCCAGGAAGGACCGTGTGTTATTGCCTGAATCACTGAGATTCAAACCCACCACTGATGTGAACACAGCGCAGCCTGCGGCGTAGCGAGTGCGTGCGCTCTGACAATAGTGTTTGGCCCGTCTGCGAGGCCGGACCCCCGAGCCTAAGCGCTTTTATGTGAAAGGTTTGGAGTGTCGTCAGCCCTAACGCTGACCAGCCTCTTCTGCAGCTTTGCTGAGCCATGGGGCTCCCGGCAGCCCTGGGAGTGCTGACTCCAGCCCTGGGAACATGTTTACCGCTGCCCTGCACCCCACCCTGTGGCATCAGGAGAGGGACCATCGGGGGGTGGCTCGATCCACACAATGAACCTGCTGAATACTGTGCTATCCAGTTATCGTTGCTGGGGACTTGCAGTCGGTTGACAAACTGGCCGGGCAGGCTCCTGATCGGAGTGCACAGGGGCAGACTTGTCTCTTCTTGGCTCCCTCTTCAACTCATCATTCCCAAATGTGACTTGTTTGTCTGGTTTTTATTGGGTATCCTGTCAAAGTCCAAACACTGGTGTAGTCAGAGTGTTGCTGTAAAGATGAGCTCAGGCAGCATCAGGATTTCACAAATTTTATGACTTTTTCAGACAATCGAAACGATTGTGCAGTTATTTCTCCTCAAAGTGAGTCTTTGTGAAATCTCAGAGAAGTCGTCTCTGTTTTTCTTGGGAAACATGTTATTTTGAAAGAAACATGACGCACGTGTGTGTGTGTGTGTGTGTGTGTGTGTGTGTGTGTGTGTGTGTGTGTGTGTG